GACCACGGCAAATCTTGCTTGCAGGACTCCGAAGGCACGCTCAACATCTTTTCGGACCGACTCTTGGGTTTGAGCAAATAACGAATTTTTTGGACCTTGTGGTAGTCGGATAGATTGAATAAAAGTCGCCCATTTCGGATAAATACCATCTGTGAGATAATAAGCCATATTTTACTTTGTTCCGTTGACATAGAAATTTACTTCTGGCGCTACTCCGTTAATAATGTCATCAAAAACAGGTGATCGATCTAGAATATTAAGATCGTTCATAGTACCTGGAGCTCCAAAAAATGCGTGCCATATCCAGAGGTCATATGTAGCTACCGCCTCCAACACAATTGTTGGTTTGTCGGTTCCTCGTGAATACATACCTTTCCAAGTGGTTGGGCAATTTTTCCACTCCCAATGCATACAGTCGATGCTTCCAACCATCCCTGGAAATCCACGTTGTTCTCCAATATGGAGTAATCTTTCGAGATCCTCCGGCGTGGGACGTCTTAGGTATTCATCGCCAAATAAGTTGATTATGGCGGCCGTAAATTGGTGCAGACATTGTCGAGCCGTTGTTTCACCAAGTCGAACATATTCCCACTACGTCAGCTCCACCACCGTAAGCCAATTGACGAATTGCTGCAGTGCATTTTTGTATTGATGATAGACCAGGACGTCCGGCTGCATCTTGCGTTTGATGAAAATACGGTACTTCTGTGGAGAGACGATGAACAATACGCATGAACAATGATTTGTTCATTCGAAACCGTCGCCGGAATATATTGTGAGGGTATGTTGGAGTTTCGCTAAAATAATCATTCCAAAGCTTTACGTCGCCTTCTTCCCGTTCTCTCTCGATAAAAATACGTGGTTTTCTCTCTTTTGGTTCCGGAAAAAGATCAGCGTTTTCAAAAACATCGTCAAATATGTTATCAAAATCATCATCATCATTTTTGTTATAATGATAATGATAATGTGAAGAGGAAGCCATGACCAAATTTTTAAAAGGGAGAAAAGTGTTTAAAAGAGAGCATACGAGAGATGATGTGAATATAAATTATGAGAGATGATGTAGTATTTATAAATCTTGTGATATTTTACAATCGATGCTTGTGATTCTATAGTAACTCTTGTGATATTTTACACTCGATGCATCATGTGATTCTATAGTAAATCTTGTGATACTTTAAAGTTGATGCATCATAAATCTTGTCATACTGCAGTATATCCCGTGATACTATGAAACAAACAAGAAAGACATAAAAGTATTGTACTGGTACATATAGTTCAACGAGAAATGAGAGTACATCGTTTACAAATTACACATAGAGAGTACAAAGCCGAGAAAGGGTACAATGCCATTACAAATTACACATGAATCAGTCATGTGATTTACTTAAACATGAGCAACACACCTATTACAACTAATACCATGACCATTAGACCAACAAAGTATTCGAAGCCATTAGTAAACCTTGATTTCTCACCTAACTGACACACTATCTTCTCTAGATCCACCAGTTTCTTATCAGTCTCATAGTCACTCAACAAGATTAGAGTTTCTACCTTTTCAGCCAATTCATGTGTGTGTCTATTCATGGCTTCCATCTCCTCCATAACAGCCACATCCCACCATTTCCATACATGGCACTCTCCATCATCAACGTTATGACAACTGTAGTACCTTCTTCCCGGATTGTTTGAATGGTAAGATGTCTTAAGAATCGGTTTACTACCACAGTAGCATTTCTGTGGAAAGCCAAACTCAACTTCGGGTTGAGGAGGGTACTGCGTCCGCGCACCATAGTTGTAGCTAATCTCAGCTTGGTCTCTACGTATTAGATCTTCTGTCTCGCTGTAGCTACTGTCAGCTCTCTCCACACCATAGTCCTCTGATTCTGAAGGCTGACTATAGCTATAGTCATGTCCCATGTTGAGCTAAACCTGAAAAAAAAACATAAAAACAGAGTTTACAAGTTTTAATGCAAGACATAAAGTAGGTTTCAAGGTTAGAAGTTTTAATGCAAGACATAAAAACAGAGTTTACAGAGTTTACAAGTTTACAAGTTTACAAGTTTTAATGCAAGACGTGTGACAAAGTAGGTTTCAAGGTTACAAGTTTTAATGCAAGACATAAAGTACATTGAAAAAAACAGACAAGGTTACAAGTTTTAATTAATGAATAATTAAACCTGAGAGAAAAACAGACAAGGACATAGTACATTGAAACAACAACGAAACCTGAAACAACAACGAGAACATTCGAAATACATGGAGTACTTAAACAAACAACAAACACATGAAAAACATTTAAAAGACATGGAGTAGTTAAAGATAATACAAAGAGAGACTCAGATCAGTGCGAGTAGCTTATTCTTAACAATTTCCTCTGCCTCAGTCAATGGTTCTTTTTTGGCTAGGAGGGTGTCTAGAATTGAAAGCTTTGACAGTGTCTCCTGCATCATGAGATTCTCCTTCTTCATTCCCCAAATGGTCGTGTACTCAGCAACAGACTTCCCATTGTTCCTTTTACCTTTTGCAGCCTTTACACCTTTAGGTCGGATGTCTTCATCACCAACAGTGGTGCTTGAGGTTTGGGAACAAGTTTTCCTCTTATCACTGCCAGTGGGTTTAATAGTGTTGAGGCTAAGCCACTTCTGTTCAAATCTCAACACACACCACGCATGCTCAAGATTGAACTTCGTGTTGTTATTAGCGAAGAAGATGGCATGAGCCTCCTTGAGGACATCATTCTCATGACGACCAGAAGTGATTTGCCTTTCTGCCGCCGCATAAGCAGCACAAAACTTGTTCACGTAATCATTGATTTTGTGCCACCTCTGCTTGCAATGGAGATGCCCTCTTGCTTCACCAGTTTCATATTCATATGCTGCGACATATTCGCCTACACGTTTCCAGAAAGTCTGTGACTTTTGTTGATTTCCAATGACGGCATCCTTAGAGGTGTTTAACCACCCACTGATAAGGACCTCGTCATCGGCTGGAGTCCATCTCCTTCTCTTCTTTTCCTCCGCTGGTATGTCTTCAGGGATAGTTCCAGCGCTGGTTTGTTGTGAACTGAATGGAGGAAAGTTTTGACTGCTTTGACTGTTGAGAAGACCCATGTAACTAGATGATGATGTATATGGAATCCTTGGATCCATAGCGATTAGAACAGGGAGGGAATTAGAGAAGTGAAAGGGAGGGAATTAGAGAAGTGAAACCGGAGAGAAAGAAGATGATGGAGATGATTAAGTTAAGTGATGGAGGGTTAGGGTTTAATATAGGAGGGTTCAAGAAGTAATGACCCAACCATAAACTACCAAACCACCAGAATTGTGAACTCGACCATAACCTCAAGAAGTAATGACCCAACCATAAACCTAAGAAGTAATTACCCAACCATAAACCTAAGAAGTAATTACCCAACCATAAACTCATGAAGTTATGACCCAACCATAACTCAAAAAGTAAATCGAACCATAAAGCAATTCTGTTTTTCTAGTACATGATCCCTAAAGCAATCGAACCAAAGAAGTCTATGTAGCTACAATCAGAAACAATATTGTTTTAGTATTCAAGATATTTTTCAAAGAAACATTGACTTCTGTACTATGAACATTTGATGTCTGTGAACGTGTGTTTGCAATAAGAGAATCAATGTCTACATCTAACAAAAAATCTAAAGCATCACAAACAGAAACACGAATCAAAATCTCCACCTAATAAAAAATCTAAAGCATCACAACCACAAACACGAAGTTTACTTTGGTTACTTTGGTTCTTATGCTTCTGCTTTGGATTACTTTGATTACTTTTGTTCTAAAGCATCACAACCACAACAACTAAAATATATGTTGTTCTTATGCTTCTGCTTTGGTTACTTTGATTACTTATGTTCTTCCTAAAATTACACGAATCAATCTAAATCTAAAACAAACACGAATCAATCTAAAACAAACACGAATCAATCTAAAACACAAACACGAACACGAACATGAACCAGAGCAAAAAAAATCTAAAGCATGCCAAACACGAAGCATCGTCTCAACAAAAACAAATCAAACCAAGAGAAGACACACATACAAATACAAAAAAAAACAATTTGCAAAAAGGAAGACAGAGAAGATACACATACCTGGTTTGTCGGTTCGATTGAGAGAACACGGAGAGGAGATATCGTCGTCGATGGAGAATGGTTGAAAGGAGAATGATTTCCAGACCGAAACTCGTCTTTCCCCTACGAACACGAAGCATGCAATGAAATCGGAGATAGATCGACTTTTAAATCGGGATACGGAGGAAAACCAATAACAATGAAATCTGAGATAAGGAGACATACCTGGTCTGTATAGGATTCGGCAGAGAATCGACGATGACACAGATCGGTGTCGATTGAGAGAACACGGAGAGGTGTCTTCGAAATCGCCGTGGAGAAAAAAGGATTTGGGAAAGGAGACCAAAATTATTTCGAGACTGAAACTCGTGTTTCCACTACCTCTTCGTTTTACGTATCACAAGATGACACGTGCTCCTTAAGGACGCTCTCGAAAACTTCTTATTTACTTAACATTTCCTTTCTTTTCCCGTATTTCTCATTTATTTTTTTTTACTTTTTAGTTAAGGACGACGTTAATATACGCCGATAATGTTGGTCTAAGGGAAATGATATTCCTTTGGAAATGCTCTAAGGAGTTAAGGACCAATGAAGAAAAATACGTAATATGTAAACAACGAACGTATGTATTAGATCGACCCAAAAATGTCAACTGATCCAGTAATAAATCATGTCATGTTTTAAGGCAGTAATTTGAACGTTGATAGTAACTTTTACGTTGACAGTCATTAGATGCAAGTCATTTATGTAATAACGTTGACAGTCATTAAGGTCATCTACCATAGGTTAAATATTTCATATACACATATCATATGTAAAGATATTTTCATTTCTTTATTTACTACTAAACGCTATATCATATTCAGATACATGCGTCATTAAGCACACAAAGAGCTATCTCGAAGATTGATTTTCCAACAGTTTCACCCAAGCAGATCCTAAACACGATAATGTAATGGATTACACACAAAAAAAAAACGTAAGACGTAAGGAGAGCTTAGAAAGTTAAAACGAGACTAGGAAAGTTACCTATTACATATTTATTTTTAACTGATGTGATATATTTATTGCAATGAAAGTGACTCTAAATGAATCAAATGTTCTAAACCTCCTGAGCCATCATCCACCTCTGCAACCTCAGCTGTCTATGAAACCTCTGTATAAACTCCTCCGCGGCTCCATCCACGTGGCAGCTATCCATGGTTCCCGCGCTACTAGCTACGTCAGGAAACACGGCCGCCGCCACGTGTCGGACCTTGGGGAGCGCCTTGTACCGGATATACGCTTGGCTTTTGTTGATGACCGGTCTGCGTCGTCCGTTGCTGACGTGGCATCCCGTGATGGTTGTGGCGCAGGAACGTCTCGGTGGGGTGCTGCTGCAGCTGAACTCGTAGTCAAGCTGTAACGGTACAGGCGAGATGAAGGAGGATCTTACATCTTCGTGGTCGGAGGGACGGCACGTGATGTGTGAGTGGGAAGTTGATACGGCGTCGTTCAGAGACTTGCGTAGGGTCTTGCCATGTCTCGCGAGTTGGTGTGGATCGAGAGTTGTGAGGAGTTTGTGACGTGAGGCGTCTGAGACCTTCTGGATGGTGAAGAGGATTAGTTTCGCGAGGCTTGAGAGCTTCTTGGTCGTGACGGTTGAACACACATCCATCTCGTCGTGAGTTTGCATATTGTTAAAGAGAGGGGTTTGGCTTATGGTTTGAGGGGTGGGATTTATTATTGAAGAAACTTGACTATGATGGTCTTTTATAACGGAAACATTATAATTATTATGCATGTAGGAGTTTTGTTATAAATTTGTTTCAATATAGGAAAAAGAAGTCGATGGGTCCAATACTTATTCTCTACCGTTAATAACATTCTTGATTTTTCTTGGTTTTATAAAGGGTCTTCTAGTCTGAGTCTCCGTTCATGGTATTGTAGAAAACGCAAAAAAAAAAAAAAAGAAAAAAAACTTAACTCTATGTAATTTAAAATGTTACATATTTTTAACAAAGATAAATTATATTTAAACTAGGGAATATTATTGTAGTTTCAAGCTATCTAGGAATGTTACATATTTTTGTTTTATTGTAGATTTTGGTTATAAAATTATGACGTCTGTACAGTTTGATAACATCGGTTTTATTAATAAAACAAAAATTGTTTAGGGGTTTTCAGAAAACACTGAATTAATTTCTTACATCAAAATTATGTTTGTACTAAGTTAAATTTAATTGTAATAGATGCCAATAGATTTCTCATGAATTTTTGTTAAAGATATAAAAATACATCGAATAATAATTTTTTATTCCATGAGTTATTACGAATGAGATATAGTTAGATATGAAAATAGAAACATATGGAATCGATCTTCAAGAATTGATCTGAAATTATTATTAAAATTTAAATGTCTATTTTGTAAACTATCATTTCTAAATAGCTTAATTAGTATCCCGTAGATCTAACATGTTGGTTACATCCAAAAGAAAAGATCTAACATGTTGGACAACTGGAGCAGATATCTGGTAAATACAGATACTGAAGATTGATCTAACCATCAACAAAAGCGAAGCGATTACCTTAGAATATAAATTCACATTAAAGCAAAACAATATTTAAATAATGTAATGATAACAGCTGCATTATACAAATTTAATTTGAGCGGTGTCTGTCTTTATGGATTTTAATAGTTTCTTATCTTTTCTTTTCCTATGTCTTTAGTTACTTTAGTAAAACTTCTTTCTTAGGTTGAAAAATAAAGAGAGGAGAGGTATATTAAACTAAGTTTTTCTTCGTGATGTAATTAGATTAGTCTCTCTAAGTTGTTTGCATATGCAAAAAGTGTAATAAGGGTAGGGATCCCATTGGTCATATTTTGTATAACTTAAAATCAGAAAAGTTGATTTTGATTGCTTTGTCGAAAGAGTTAAAATCTTATCGTTTGACAAAAAAAAGAATTAAAATCTTATCGAGAAAACTAAATAATTAATATTCTTTGCGGAAAAGAAAATCATGAACTGTGATCTATCAATTTGGATGCCTCTGGCTCCCAAGTTCCGTATGTTACTTTGACGGCCGACACTGTCTTACATTAATATAAATTAATTTGGGATATTTTAGTTCGGGAATTTCATAAATTTTAGTTACCAAAGGTAATGATGATATAACTAACGGTAAATTCTCTTTTTATACTGACGACTAGGATAAGACCTGCGCCTTGCGCAGGGTGAATATATGTAATTAAAATATAAAATTTTAATATTCACAAATTTAAAATTTACATATGATTGTTTTTGTATGTATTTGAAATTTTAGAATTTTGGAATTTTTATATAATTATCTATACGTATGATCAAAAACAATTTTAATTAGACATGTAAATCAAATCTTAGAATTTAATGGATCTGATTTCATATATCTTTTTACTTTCACTGTTCGAGTGATGGAAAATAAATGGAGTGTCACTGGGCTTGATTGGTAGAGTATAGCAAGTTCCCTAATGTTTTTAAAGAAGCAATTGGTAAAATATTTGCAATTAAAATATATAAAGTTTCTAAACTAATTTAATATAATTTATTTATTTGTCTAATAATATTAGAAAATTATATTTTTAAAAAAATTATATTTTTTAAAAATAATTTTCTAAAAAATTATGTTAAATTTGAAATTATTTTTAAAAGCAATATTTTAAGTTTTTCGAATACTAATAAACAATTTAAAATTAATTATTGTCATGATTTAACATAGCCATAATGATTTAAAAAATTAAAAAAAATAAAAGTTAACAAATTAAAAATTAACTCAGTTTTATATCATGATTTAACAATTTAAAAGTTAACTATGGTTATGAGAAGTTTACGTTCACGTGTCAATCCTATTTATCTTCCAGTTATGAGAAGTTCACGTTCACGTGTCAATCCTATTTATCTTCCATTTTTCTCTTGCTATGTTTTTTTTTTATATTTTGGTTATTACTCGATATAAATATTTATTTTGAATTTTAATCTCATTTCGTTTGTTTGTTTTGACCTGAAATTTAGAAAATATTTAAGTTTTAAAATAATTAAACAGATAAATACTTAGGTTAAGATCTGCACTTTATGCACAATAAGTATTTTATATTTATTATTTCTTTTATATTTTTCTGCATATTATAAATAATAAAATAATAAATATATATATATATTAAATAACTAAGAAATC